TGATCTTCACACTGAGCTGTTTGCAGAAGCAGAACGTCTACGGTTTATGATGTTCACAACACTGGTTTTGTGCAGCACAGAATGTGGCATCGTAGAAGGAACAGTTCATCTTGAAAGCAGATTTATTACTAACTTAATCCTCCATGTTTCATGCTAGGCTTGTTGTCGGCGTATGTCGTGTTTTTGCTCCCTCACGGGTGCTCTAGGGTGGGAGTAAATGGTGTATGCTCATCCAGTTGTTTGTCTAACCTCCTTTTCCTAGTCTCCGTATCCACAGAAGTCGCCTCTGCCAGAAAAAGAATGGAGTTATTCTTTACGTGGTCCTGCCATTTAATCCTCATTATGAGTGGACGCAACGCTCTTCTACACCGCTCAACAGTCACTCTTGGTCGATCAGTACAACAGGTGTTTTGACGACATACAGCAACATTAATCTGACCGAAGCAGCGTACAGACAATGCAGGCTTTAATATAAGCTTTATTTTAAGCACTCAGTGATGGATCAGAAAATTTGTTGCAATTCTTGGAAAATGCTCCAATCGATGTGAAGTTGGAGAATGCCTGAAAATCTAGTGTTCTGTTACAAGCCTTGGCTGGAATCAAAATGTAGCTCACTCCTTAGCAAAATAATAAGGATAAGATTCATAACTATCTGAAACAAGATAGAAATTTTGACCTTGTTTTCAAACATCTGCCGTTCCTTTGCTCTATGCTTTTACTTTTCAGAGAGATGCTTCGATGCCACAATATCAGCCTCTAATCTCAAATGAAATTTTAACACAAAGAAATTCCATCCAGATCCATAATTTACCAATAGATTTAAACACCTGTCTAGCTATTCATAACTCTATACCTACAGACTAATTATCACTTCCTTTCTTGGTTGAAAATTCGATTGCTAAGAGTCAATAAACCCTGAAATGATCAGATTATAGGCAGCTGATGATCAAAGAAAGTTCATTAGGTCTTCAAGGCAAATCTGTTTTGAAAAGGACATCCAGGCTTAAATCTAAATGGCTGAACTGAATGCCAGCGTCGGCATTATTAGCTGAACAAGGTAGTGACAATGGATTTCACCTATGATCAACCATTATAATACAAAATAACAACTCATGAGAATGACATATTCAAGATTTAATTTATCATAAAGTATTGAAACTGATTGCTCATTGGGGAATTTAACACATGGGAAATTACTCCTAAGGCGTTGGCCTAACGTGCCCAACCTCACAAGGAGATTCACACAGCTGCCAAAGTTAATACATACAGTACTCTTGTGTTAGTTAGCCATACAATTCTCAGTTAGCCATACAATTCTCTTATGATGCGTCCAAATCTCTATATATTAAAGAATTAACAGTGACGTATATTTTACATAGCACACAAGTCACAGTAAAGTGCTTGCACAAACATGCTTGAACCTCTTTGCAAAAATGTGCCCTGCACTAACCATTGCCACTTGCCAATGAGGTCAACAAGAAAAATATGCCTAAAGGATGAGCAAGATCTTGGCGCTGTTCATAATTCGAACGTTATCCGAAACTGCTGGAGTGAGGGTTAAAGCAGATAACCGACTCTAAAATGCAAAACCGTCCTTGTGGCTTCAGGTCAAGCGGAAACACATCTAATTAGATCCTTGCCTTAGGCCAGATTGTTGACAACTTGAGGATATTCACTTATTAGGTTTGCATGTGCCTTGTTCCCCTGAAGAATGACCATGACCAGATTTCGCGCAGAAAACCGTGGACATGCCTTCAAATGCATGGGATCGATGGCCAGCTGCTAAGAGCCATCAATTCACTAAATGTCAATCAAGTGTTGCGTGAAGGTAAATTGCGTCGAAGTCGAGATCTTTCACTGTTGGCACTGGTCTCCGCCAAAGCTGTGTTTCGTTCCCCCTCTCCCTTCTCGTTGTACACGAATGGGATAGTCAGGTACAGACTGGATGACCAGTATATCTGTAGGAGACGTGACGACGAGAAGTTGGCCGCTTTTCAGACGACCTTGCTTTGCTGGCATCGTTCGAAACATATCATTAGCGCTCGTTGGACATAATCGCAGTCGAGTGCGACGAGGCCTGCATACGTGTGAATTTGTCCATCTAAGGCCTCATGCTATTTGATTGTTTCCCGCTGCGTTCTGTACATTAACAGAGAAGTGGGGGAACAGGTGGAGAAGTTCATCAATGAGGTCGTGCTTAATGGTGACGGAAAATGGGAGGAAAAATTGGACCGAGTTGGAAACGCGAGCTGCGTCACGTTGTGACTAAGAAAGAGTTGAGTGGAAAGAGTTAGTTGTCTGTATTCAAATCAATCTTCTTTTCCATTCTTACTTTCAGTCATGAGTCATGCGCCATGCGCTAAAACTTCTACCCCGGGATACAAGCTGTCTGAGACGAATTGCCTTGCCTACTCGACTCGCCACGGTTCGGAGTTCAAATATCCGAGAGAGCGTTTTTACATGGCCGCGGCTTCTCCAATTAAGAAGTCACAGCCGCAACGATTTTGGCACGTCATGTGAATGCTTTCAGAAAGGAAGACGAAACAGCCATTACTTGTCCAATCGAATGACTAAAGATCATGGGGGACGACAATGAATGACCTGAGGCAAGTGTCGCGACAGACTCTGCTCCAAACTTTGGCACTCTTCTGTGTTTGAAGCTTAAACACTGACTCATAATCGAGAACGTTACAAACACTGCCTGACCTCACTGCTCCCGTGACCTCAAAGGGTACGCAGTCATCGAAAAAGGCTGACTGACTTAATCCAAAATTGCGGTCACGGTTCAGTATAGTGGGTGCCTTACTTGTTCGTGTTCGACCATTATATCTATGCGATATAGTATAATAATATATACTATATCGCGTAGATTGCGATATAGTATATATTATTATAGGCTAGCTTATTCTGTGGATATAAGCCTAAGTGATGCGAAATTGCGTCTGTGTGGTAGAACTAATAGATACAACGCAGAATTAGGTCTGAAAAATTAATGCAAAAGTAAAAATGGCAAAGAGCATCTTGGAAGTTGAAACCACTGCTACTCATGCCATGAAACCATTACTACTACTGCTCTTATCCTAGAAATGGAAGTTCTACAACCAGCGCGTCTTCTATGTGCCAAACCATGGGTGCGAGAAGTGGACCCTAATCCTAAAAGCCATTCATGATCTGCAGATCACGCAAGGTAACATGCAAAGTTGCAGGGTGGTAATAATAAGAATAGGGAAGACAAAAAAATGGTAGGAGCACAAAAATGAATCTGCAATGTCAGTGTCGTAGTAAACCATTTTAATGGCAATTGCAGAACCCGTTGCAAGGAAAGCCAGCCATCGCTGCACCAATGCTATATTAGACTGGGTTCCATACGAGCGTAAACGGTCAGTAAGAAAACCTCCAAATGGATTACAGAATGAACTAAACACAATATAAAATACGGCTCAATAATACATAACACAAAAGATGATACGGCCAATCCGGTGACTGACAAATACCGACGTCTCGGCCCGATTCACCATATTATTTTTTTGCGTTGTGGATTATTAAGCCGTTTTTTCTTATTGCTTTCTGAATATGACCACCAACGCATGAAAAAAATATTCCATCCTTGTATGAACTAAGGAAGTTCGTTGAATCAAAGTGGATAAGAATATCACAGACGACAGAAATCCGTGGCAAAGTCTTGGAGAGATCTTTAGCCAGTAGTAATTCAGAAAAAGGCTAACGATGACTATGGCAACAACCATCCTGATGGAGCATGTAGCAGAAGGATAGCATGATTATTTATGCCCCTATAATAGGCAACCGTTGACCGGCACATAGACTCTCAACTGACAGTCATGGTTTTTAATCGCAAGCTGCAAACAGTCATGTATTACTTAATGCCGTGTTAAAATAAGTGCTAAGTCTTTGGTGCTGGATGAATGAATGCCATGAATGATTATTCATGACTGCAATGTCTCAGTTAATCAGTCTGCACTAAGAGATCTACTCTCAGATATGTGTTATGATATTTTACCAACTCTGCTCAGCCACGTACGTGCACTGTTGCCGAATCTGAGCAAAGGGAGTGCTATTCTCACAGCAGCTCAGTTGCATGCCAACCAAAATATTATGAGTGGGTGTATTTGACTCTTAAGTTATAGGAGAACCGGTCTATGGCGCAATGGCAAATTTAAAGGTTTGTTTCTTTAATTTCAAATTGAAATCCTTCAAATTTCTGAGTTCAACCGCGTTCGACCTTGAAACTAAAACTTGACAGCTAGTTTCCATAATAATTAAGAAACGCCAAATTTTGAAAGTTTTCCTTGTCAAGGAAATGTCCAACCCATTCCGATTT